GTCAAGAGCTCTATTCAACACGCGTTTCGCTGCGGTACAACCCACCAGATCATTTTGCAAAATAATAAATATAATGTTGCTGTTCAAAGCGCAATGGAGCTGATTTTCAGGTTCATGCAGAGTCATTAACTTTATTTTGCCCATCGAACAAGTTTGTTAATAGCAGCCTAGTTTTGCTGATTTCATTTAAAAAACATATTTAGTTATGTCCTGAACCATGGAAAACAAAGAATGAAACTTTCAATCTATAGCAGCATTAAGAAGAGTCTCAAGAGCGAAATGTATATATAATTGCCAGTATTTTAATTATAGACACAATTCGGTGTACAAATACGTATTTGAAAATATTATAAATTTTTAAAAAATGTCTTATATTCATGAATACAAAGTAAAGTAAAAATAAAATTGAAGCTTTCGACCATTAAGCCTTTTTTGGACTGTAGCGAACACGTCGATTCGTGTCTGAGTGCCTTGTTGAACATCACCACGTTTTGGCAGTGACAGGTATTTTTGAACAACATAGGCATGCACGAGATGCAGTTACATATGAATTCATTATTTGAATATGACCGTTTCATGAAAGTGTGATATTTTTGGTTTTACTTATGAAAGATATCATGATAAAGCTGTCTTAAACAAATATTTGCCGAATCAGAGAAAAGTACCACTCTTCATATGCAAAGGTTAGAAAAAGCGCTAGTGGGAAGTCAGTCTCGTAAAAATACGGGGATTGAAGAGTTAAATATTCTACATTAACCAATAAATAGTAATAAATAAATTACCGTTAAATAATCTACCATTCAGTTCACACCATGAATTCCCTCATCTTTGTCTTAATTGCAGATAAACTGTCTTAATTAGAGCGCGAACATTTAAAATGATTAGTACTAACAGAGTAACTCAAAAACGCAGTCATTTAATAAATATGCTTAAAATATGCCTTAAAATAAAAGATTATCGAACCGTTTCTGAAAACAGTAATCTATGGATCCTTCTTAGCAGCTGAACCTGCAGCAGTGACTGAAACCGTAGTTACAGCCGAACGACTGCCACGTCCATCCGACGAATCTTTCGAACAAGGGGAAGGAGGAGACGAGTCAACTAAAGAGGCTGATGAGGAAAACAATACCATCGGAGAGGCTGAAGAAGAAACAAATTCAGCAGAAACAGAGATCGTAAAGGAACCTGATGTTAAACTGATCAGCATATCGCAGAAAACGGGCGCCTGCAGGACATGGCATTGCGACTTCCGAGGTAATCTATCTGCCCGCTCGCTTGATGTCCAGTACCACGTGTGACCGAAGGTGTTCTCTTTCAGCCGGTAGCAAATGCAACTGGGTGACCACTAAAAAAAGCGAAAGTACCAGTCGCTTCGAAATCAAACGCAACCCGATTGGATCAGCCCCGAATGTTATGGTGAAACCCACAGGTAAGGAAGAAACTTACGGTCATGAACACGGGCCTCAGGCTTGAGTGCTCAAATCCCAGCTTGATAACTCAGTTTTGGGCATAAATAACGCTCTCGTTTTTGTTGCAATTGTCTTGTCACTGAGCTGTCAGAAAAAGTCATTTTCACTGTTTCATAAGACCAAAGTATGAGACACAGTATCTTTGCGTTTAGCAATATCTCTCGAAGTAAAGCTCCACTGTGGAAACCATGGTTACTTCGGCCAGAGCAAATCAGTGACCAAATTCTCTAATACAGCAAGATTATGATTTATCGAATAAGTCCCAACATAAAGGATAACACTAACCAATGCTAAACCTTTGAAAAAAAATACAGAACAGGTCACTGGTGTAGAGACTAGATCGGGAGACAGTGCAAAGTGCTTGGTCCAAATGCTAGTTTCCTGCATCTGATCGGTTCAGATGAAGAGAAGAACGATGATAGTTTAGTGCCATCTTGAGCCAGGTCTAAAATTCGTGCAACATAATGTTGAGAAGTCCGTGTGTAAGACCTCTCATTAAAATGAGGACATTATTAAGGCAGATACCGAAAGAAATATTATTGTCTGAGATTGGTTCGGCCTTAATAAAGTGTTTTGATCTTCTTCGCATTTATAGCCATTTGGTTGGGTGAAAGTTCTTCCTATTTTGCTGGCGCGGTGGCACAGCGTTTATGAAGTCGGTGTCGAATTCCGGAGGTGTCGGGTTTGACTTCAGCAGAGGACATACGTTGTATTAACGACGTAAAACTATGAGCAATGATTCGACTACACGTTGCTTCAGACCAGAGTTGCTCAGTTCGTTGAACGTCAAACTCAAGACAGGGAGGTCCCTGGTTTGAGCCGAGGTCTGGTCACTTGCCTTCGTTCCTTTTGATATTGATAAGAGTACCATTGTGTGAGAAGGAAAAAAGAGAATACACACCACGTTCATCGGAGAGGTGCTTTCAATTCAGATTTAAAAAAGAGGCACCCCTGACTAATGACATGGAAGTGGAGAGGAGTGGTCCCAGCAATGACAACGTAAAAAGAAGGGCTTCAGAACAACCTCATCATGAAAGTGTAAAGAAAACCGATATTCGAACAGTTACAAGTTTTCGTTTTTTCAACTGCCTGTTAGCTGCTGGCTGCGAATCAACACGAGCTTTACATAACACGAATTTTTTGCATACCTCCTTCCAAATTTTTGATCAAGGAAGAACTGAGTGAAAACGAACTTCAAACAGTAACTTACAAATAGTTGTCACCCTCAGTAAAATTTGAAGGAGTTGGCCAACCCACACAGCTTTGAATCACTCTTCTGTCTCGTGCAACGTTGGTGGCGTGAACGATGAATGATGCTCACCGTTTTGACTCTCGGTTGTCATTCGTTCAGTGTCCGCTTCTAAATCGCTGTTGTTTAATTCGACGAGTCATCGGCCTCAGTTCAAAGGATAATCTGGTTGGGTTATATCTGCTGATCATGTTCTTATTCTATTCACCGATTAAAATAGATGTTTCAAAATCTCTCCCTATGGGCATACAATTACGCCGTCTTTTCTGTACAACATTTTTCCATGAAAGCATAAGTACATCGCTCACTGGCCAGTTACCTCGGTCTTCAGCATACTTGCCATGCACACAGATGCCTGGGTTATTTTTGCGGAGAATATGCAGCAGCAAAAAAGTATTTATGCCAAAATAACAAACGCTGTACGGAAGCGGTTAAGAGATTTCGCAGAAACATGTTCAACCCACCTGTTGACTGTTTAATCATCACCGGCGTTTATCGATCCGTTGTATGATTCGTATTTGCTGGATGAAGCTCTTTCAGTGGCTTTGCCATAAGCTTCTGTTTGCTGGGATTGTTGTCCATTAATTTGGAGATCTACTTATGGATGTTCACGCTCGCTTGGAACCTAGTCAAACGTCTCAGTGACTCACCAATGGTCAGGTCTTGTTGCAGAGTGTATTATCAATTGCCATTCGAACTTCCAACTGGTGTAGTGATAGTGCGGTCTCAGTTTAAACAAGTTGCCATCAACAGAAACTATTATTCTGCGCTTTACTAATGCATTTTAATGACTACAAAGATTTGGCGTAATTACCAACGCTACGACCAGTACTGGCACTGTCCGATTAGAGTACCGTATGATTACATTAGGGCTTGAATGAATTAAATTATAGAACTGCCTTGGAGTCTCTTTTAATTCACGGCTCATGCAATGCATCATAGTTTATGACCTCGTGATAGATAGTGCGGCTGTCGCCTGAACCTTCAGCTTCAGAATAGGAGAATAAAGTCATTAGACTTGAACCTTCTTCTTGCCTATAACCACCGTATTGTAAAATATTCTCTTCTATTCCGTCAGCATTCAATTTATAAGGAGAGGAATTTTTTTGGCAATTGTCCTGTTCTTCAGCCAATCTTAGGGGGTCTTAACCCCAAGTTTCCTACCAATTCTACAGTTTTTTTTCACAATTTTTGGCAAGCGTTTAATCTTATTGGTGCTTAGATGATCATTCGTTCCTTGGCGTAGAAATCGGAGGCAACAAGGCCTCTTTTGCCACCATAGAATCGTCGAAAAGGACGCCTCTCGAAAAAGGTCTGAAGATGCACGTCCTGATCAAGCGAGGCACGCATGGATCAACGATGACTGTCTGTTTCGAAAACAACACCAAGACGAAAACATGCAAACCCATTGCGGGGCCCAGCTTTACCGTGGCCGACTGGAAAAATCCCAAGGAGGTTATCGTCGACATTCCACAGGGAACGGAAAAGGTGACGGTTTCTCGTTTGAGAAAAATATGGCCTTAACATCACACATTACAGATCACGTTCATCGTCGAGAATAGAGCTTTCAGCACTTCCGGTAAATCTGCCTTCGGAATCGATTACGTGATGCTGACCGATACAGGAAATAATCCTATTTGTTAGAATTAGGCTATTCACATGATTTCAGGTGACAGACATATATATTTGTACTTAAGTTTCTAAAATGTTTCCTCACTGTGATATAACTTCCGTTTGGTCGTTTCTTTAGCTACGCCATTGTTTATTTTGGAATGCTGTAATGTTGTACAGAAGTGAAGAGTAAAATTTAGCTACTACAGAAGTGAATATGATACCAACAGCTTTCTCTAGACTCATTGACCTTAATATTGAGATGAATTTAAAAAAACTTTTGATTCAATTTCAAATCCCGCCATTTGCTTCCGACTGTGAAGATAGCAGCTTCAGAAAGGCGTTGCAATGTTCCCGAGGCGCCGCTAAGCGAAAGGATGCTCAGTGGTCCGAATTCGACGCTACGACAAATCCAGGTCTTCCAGATATTCGATCCATCTGGACGGCGGTCTTCCTCAGAGTTCTCAACTCTTTCGTCCTTATCACATATACAAGACATTACACTTGTGTTTATGCGACAAAGGCATCGAGCAGCTTACAAACAAAAATGTACTCACAAGCAATTCTGCCTCTTGCATCAGCAGTCACCTTTTTTGGTTAATTTTCAGCAATGACTTGCTGAAAAGCAGAGATCTGAGATGGTGGTTGCCAGATACACTTATTAATTCCATCTGTCCGTAACCAGAAAACCTCACTCAACTTCGGTGATTCCGCTGGCATGATCAAAGTTGGGCAGACGTTGGCAGAAGATCACGAGGGTTGGCACCCCGAATGGACTATCGAACAATCGCTCGTCCGAAAACGCTGAAGAATTGAGAAGACTGTAGACTTAAGCGTGACCTACGTTAGTGGCGCGGCTAC